AAAAGTGAATTTGACTTATTCATTATTATTTTTGTTCGGAAAATTTAACCTTCAAAACTACTACTTTTGGCAAGCAAATTATATAAATAACTCTTGTAGAGTAGATAACATGAGTAGAAAACAATCTATCTTTTCAAATATGAAAACAAAATTAAGAATATACCTAAACAAATGCTGTAAACTCAACAACGGAGCAATTGACGCCAAAATAAAAATTCCATGAACATAAGGTAGTTTAAATGACATTCTACCAATTCTTATCGAAAAATCAACATAAGCAACTTGAATAATGCTCATAATATTTTATATCTCTCCTTTCATTGACCAATACGACGGTACTCATTAACTATAATCACTTGTTTGAAATCTTACTAGTTAACATAAAGTTAAGAAAATTGGCATACCCCGTAATTTTATAGATGAGTCGCGTTGATGAAGTTATACTTAAAACACATGGTGTGCACCCTGTACAGTAATATATATGTTTTTATACTATTAATGGGTTGGTATTTCATACTGGTTTTAGCTTATGCCAGGCTCCCTGATATAAAATATATTTATTTTGCTTCTTTTTTTTTTTTTAGTTTATTTGATAAGGGATTGGTGCACTCTATCGATTTTATTCACTCATAATGAAAGTGTACCTTCACAAATAAAGTAGTGATATTTGTCACGCATGTTATAGCAGTACTTTAGTTGAAGAGTTGTAGCCGTAAAGTGCAAATGCAGTTTTTCTGGAGCCGCATAACGGATATTTGTGACAGTCAATTCAAAATTGACGGCACCAACTCTTGTTCATTTAATAATGAAAGTGTTTCAGGAATACTTTTACAAATTAAAGAAGTGATATGTGTCACTTATTGAATAATAGTTTTACTGCCGACGCATAACGAATATTTGCGACCGTGTAATCAAAATAGACGACAAAAAGAGGAGCAAAAGATACCAAAGGGACAGTCAAACTATTCAACTACAATATTGTTATAATAATTCTGATTCTAATGCATGACAAAAAGAAATAATACGTTTGAGCTTGAAAAAAATGTACAAATTTATAATAAGATTTTCCTTGGAGTTATTTTTTTATTTTTTTTTTTTTTACTTTTTATCTCATTTGATTTAAAAATAATTTTTACTTTTTATTTTATTTAATTTCTCCAACATTTTTGCTATCTTCTATTGAATGTATTTGATAGTTACCCCTTGTCAACGCTTCCGTTTACATGTAGTTTTAAAACTATTTGAAATGTTGATGTATTAAAAGAATCGCTATTAGGTTTTTAAGACACCAAGTCATTGAAACTTCATCACGAAGTGTCGAACGTAGATATTTTAATACAGTATGAATCATTTTTCTATTTTTTTCTGCCATTTTAATTGAAAAGGTCGTCTCGATTTTTGTACATGTATTTGCGGTTTTCGCGATCTATTCACATTCAATGTTTACATCGGGATAAGGTCCATTAAAATTTGTAATAGTAATTTAATTTCAAAAGTGTTAATCTTTGCTGCATACCAATCGATTCCTTGGAGTTAGGTATTTTTTAAATTTTTTACTCTTTATTTTATTTAATTTCTCCAACATTTTTGCTATCTGCTATAGAATGTATTTGATAGTTATCCCTTCTGAATGCTTCCGTTTACATATAGTTTCAAAACCATTTGATATTTTTATATATTAAAAGAATCACTGTCAGGTTTTTAAGACACCCAGTCATTGAAACTTCATCACGAAATGTCGAACAAAGACGCGTTGTGGTGAGCCTATAATCTATGATAACCCTTTACAGAAACAATAAACTTATCTAATTCTTTAGAATGTACATTATGTACTAGAACTCTTTTTTATTTTATTTTTTATAATTTTACTTTCAATAATTTCAATGTCAGCTGAAGAATTCTACTCTATATCCTCACTTATTTACAGCGAGTCATATGACACATATACAACGTAGTGAACTTCAAACCTACTTTTGAAAAGTTTAAATACCTTTTTATCAAATGAATATTGACAAACCTTTAGTTTAAATAGACATTACAAGGATCTATTTTTAAGCGAATGATTAGGTAAGTCGTTTTGTTATTCATGTATAGGGTTGCAACATATAATTACATGCCTATAATTTCTTCGTTATAGTTTACTCGTGATACATTTAAAACACCAATGAAACGTCTGTCATACCTACATTTTAATGAAGAATTATTACAACAACTGTGCATTATTCTTCATGTTCGTTACGTGATAGATTACTGAGAAATGAATAGATTGATGACAATAATAGCATCAAATTGTCTTAAAGAATACCGCATTTATAGTTGAATGCGTTTAAAAATTTCACTTCTGATGACGTACGCAGGACCATTAAGCATTCAATTTATTCATCGTTGATATTTAAGCAGAATCTTTTAAAATCACACAATCAGTTACTAGTAACTACGGTAATACGTTGTTTAATATACATTATAAACATATGTTTACTGCTTAACGGTAAGTGACTCCATTAATATCTACATGTTTTGACGAGTCTGTATACGAATCTTAATGGTGCAGATTCAGTTCCTTATTTCATAACATTCAACAGTAATTCATTTAACGTTTCAAAATATTGATAAGCTGCCTTTAAAAAAAATATAATGTGAAACTGCACCAGGAACAGTCGTTTATTGACTTGTTGTCTGGTATAAAATGTTATGAGCCATTAATTTTGATGACTCTTTTCGGAAACATTTTTTTCTAGGAAAATAGGGCTTCCTTTTTTTCATCTTGTAAACTTGTAGCATGTACATTTTCAAGGTCAGAGGTAAAATTCTACTCTATACTATTACTCATTATCACGACACGTATAAAGTAGTGTACTCAGAACTAATAACCTAAATTTTAACAGCTTAAATACCGTTTCTTTTGCAATTGCGAATAATTAAATGTACCACTTGACATTAGAAAGATATATTTAAAAAAAAATAAGATTATTGTTTGTATAAAACAAGATAATTAAATAAGTCCTTTTGGCATTCATATACTAGTGTAGGCTTTCAAACTTTAATTTCAAACTTTCATATTCTCAACTCATGATACAGGTAAGCATAAGTTTAACGTCTGTAATAACTATAGAACATGACAGTGGTTATAACAACAATGTATGAGGTAGAATAACCAGATTTAAAACGGTCAACTGTTTTGACATCGTTTGCGAAATGACACATCAGCTATATTTTAACTTTATGAGGAAATATCTTGTAATACCAATGACTTGAAATTATAACAAATGAAGAAGATTTAAAAACTGTTTATGAAAACAAACATGTGGTCTGCAGTTTTACCTTTCCTTTTCACTTATTAGACAAATAATACGGATTAGTCTGACGGACGTTTTTGTCTATCAGACAATTGAGATGGACTAGTCCAATAAATATTTTCATCCATTAAACAAATAAGATAGACTTTTCCAGTAGACATATTCATCCACCAGACAAGTAAGATGGACTTCCATATTCTCTACTCGTAATACATTCATAACATTTATTAGATTGTACGTCTTCAAAATCTATCATAACTTAGACTATTTACCGGGTTTGTAATAACATGAGCAACACTACGAGTGCCACATGTGGAGCAGGATCTGCTTACCCTTGCAGATCACCTGAGATCACCCCTATTTTTTTTTTTTTTTATTAGTTTTCTATGTTTTGACTTGTGTATTATTATTATCTGTCGGTTTTTTTTTCTTTTTTAGCCATGGCGTTGTCAGTTTATTTTCGATTTATGAGTTTGAATGTCCCCCACTCAGACAATAAATATCTTTATCCGTTGGAAAAGTATTTATATGAACAATAAGAAATGATTTAATGTTTCAAATGCGGCAAATCAGTTTATTGACTCGATAAAAGGTAAACATATGGCATTCAATTATTATAATAAGAAAAGAAATGTGCAGCTAAACAGTGTTTAAAATTTCGAATATATGTTAAACAGATAATTCTAACCATATAATATTATTGCTATTGATCAACTTTTGCCAAAATACGTTAATACAAAATATATATAATGATGAGTGCTCGTCATATTTCCATTTTTAGGAATATTAATTCTGAATTCCCAAACCATATTTTTTTCACTTTTATAGCGTTAATCCAGTATTCATATTTAATTAATATTGTGTCAACAACGGGAAATGCAAAAATGAAACATAGATAATGAAATTAATTCATGCTGTGAGTGCCTTATTTGGAACTATGCACACTCTTGCTATATTTATTATCAACGCCCTATATACTTGACATACAATCTTAACAAAATTGCGTGTTGTGTCCACAAAGCCTTTTAAATACCTTTATGTCACGGACCTTTATATACAATGCCCGAAATGTTAATTTAATATTTAGCATTCATTTGGTACACAAAAAAGTACTCCAACAAAATTATTAAATATGCAGCTTTTTGTTATATCAAAATAATCGCTGTTGGGTTAGTAATAAATTAAGTTGTGAAACTGCATCCAAAGAGTCGTATGTAAATGCCTGGTCTTGCATAAATTGTTAAGAGCCTAGAATCTTGTGTGACTCTTTTTCAGAATCCGTTTGCTTACCGTAATTTTGCATTTTGTATAATTTTACAATTTTGATTTGTTTTTCTTTTATTTGATAATCAAATCTGAGTGAAGAAAACGTAAATTGCAAAACAATTTACAACGTTACATAGAATCGTTATTAACTGCCAAGTAATTCTGAACTATATAGATAAAAAAGAACAATTTAAAAAAAAATATTTGGCTGAATCTATCTGTGAGTATTTAAATTAACCTTCATCAAATACGCTATGGTTCAAACGTAGGCGATAGAAGGGGTAAAATACAGATATTATTTGGGGGAATGAACACTAAAATTGTCAAACAGTCATATCTGTCTGCAGGTGTAGAATATTTAGATTGTTTGCAATTGTTTGGGATTGAATAGACGGCTCAGCTTTAATCAATTCTTCGTAATTTGTTTCGTTTCAGATATGGCTTTGTCCACATTGGCTTAAGAACAGGAAAACTTCTTGAGATACGCAATTCTGATAGTTGCTCATTCGAAAGAGGCACTTAAAGATCTTGTTGCATTAGATTTGTAAAACAAACATCTTACATTCGAAAAGTTCCTCAACAAGAATCAGCACGAAATCTACCATTTATGCTATGACTCACGATGCTGTCAATGTCAAAATACACCACCTAGAAGAAAACGAATCATAATTCCTTCTCAGTTGGAGTTATTGTTCGATAAATACCAAAAGTTATCTTCACACAAAGAAATTGGACATACCGACTACTGCTGCAGTTATGCGAAAGTTGGTATCACTTCGCAAGTGTTAGATCTTTCACTTGCACGATGTTTGTTGGTTAACTGTTGTTTAGATGTGTTTTGGTTCACCTGTTTAAACACCCAAGGGCAGACATTAGAACAGTTTCTTAATGTAAACAAGCATTTTATTTATCATCTCTGGAAAAACAACCAAAACTATTGTCAGTGTCCACCTGGATTCATTTTCCCGTGTACCAGCTTTTTGATCACTGAAAATGAATGGAAGAGTATGTACAGCTCCCAATTGTTGCCCTGCAAAAATGATAGGAAAAGAACGTCAACTGGATCTTCAAGTGTTTGTTCCGTTCGAGCTTCCCCCGCTATAGCTACACAAGACATTAATCCAGAAATTCAGCGATTTATCCTTCAGAACTATAGCCATATAAGTAAAGCTGTAGAATTCCTAGTTAAACAAAGAAATTCGAAATTTGCTCATGTACCAGAGGCAAAGAAACCAGATAGCGACTTTAGACTATTTTTAAAAGATATTGAAAACCACCTTCTTGGAATAGCTCGTGTTTGTGGAAAGGAGACTCACGTGAAAAAGATTTTGAGAGATCTTCACTTGAAACCATTATCTTTGAACATGTTAAGAAAATATGAAAAACTACTTCATAAAAACATGGAAGCGATCAACAAGGTAAACTTTATCCTAATGTTGTTTCACATGTTGTCATAAACGTCATCGACAATATTCATCAATATCGATAACCAAGTTATCCATAACTTTACCATATAAAAAATATTAAGATAATGATATAATAGTAAGTTTTTTCTTATAGTATTTGAAAATAGGTGTTATTGTTTAAATCGCAACTTAATCGTATATTGAAAATGTATTACCGTATGCATGTGTTCTCATAATTAAGGTAGTCTGCATTCATGTAGTATCTTCTCTTTAAGTTTTAGTATCGACAATACCGACTTCTTAATTGTAGTTGTCTGTGTTCAGTTGTATATGTTTAAATATTGTAAAATCGACGATATAAATTCGATATCAGCATTATGAATTTCAATATGATTTGTTTCACTAAACTAGTATGTATCTTTATTTTCTGTGCTTTCGATATCGACATTTAACTTTTCCCTCATGACTGGATGTTTAAATGGGGTTATACCATTGTGCTATTGTCAAACCTATCATCGATAATTACCACATAGGTGCAATATCGACAAATTAATTTCACATATGTTTATATAATATAAATATTGATGTCGATTAAATATCGTCATTTCTTTTCATCTGATTGATGTTCTTATCAACCTTATTGTTTCGATATTCTATATGGTGTGTCTTGATTTAGCCTTATTGTCTGATGTCATCATCAAACTCGAGCCGTATTCAAAATTGAGATAAGTTTCGATTTGAATTCGCTTTAAGCTTTTAACAATTAACTGTCAAATGCATCTTCACCGAATCGACTTATAACGAAAGCGGACTTTAGGTTGTCCCTAAAAAAGAACCAAAACGTATAAACAAATTACAAAAAGTATAAAATAAACAATCGATAATGCATGAACTCGATAATATGTATCAACATTTCGTGTGTAATTTTATCTAGACGTCGAAATTAAGTTGAGGAAAACATACGCAATATTATGCTCTTCGTTATCTCATGATTTCTTTTGCATTTTTTGGTAAGAGAACTGTTTGAACTTTTTACTTTAAATGTTAAAATATGATATAAATGTTTAATTAAAATTCGTTAAGGAGAAACTTGTCAAATATGATCATGTCAAATCACCATTCCCTAGTAGAGATTTAAACTGTTAGATTAGAATTATAAACATAACACACAATATTCCAAGCGAATATTTAACTGAGTTAAAACTGCATAACCGTCCGTTCAACAGATGAAAATATCATAATTTTAACTTTCACTTTTTGGGGTTTAATACATCCTTGGTTTTCAAATGTTTTCGGTTGAGTCTTCGTGATGAAGGTTAATCCAATAGACACTTCGGACGCCCGACATAAATAAAATTTTGTTTAAATTTGAATTTTAATCAAACTGTTATGATATCTTCAAATGCATAATTATATTAACTTGATTTTACTTTTAGAATATAAATCTACAGTACAGAATTACTAGACAATCAATTCCAAAACTTGTAGACAAATCAAACAAGATAAGAAAGATTGAAGAACGAGTTGATGAACTAGAAACTTCAGTAGCTAAAATCACAGAGGAGGTACAGGACTTAAGTAAAATTATCAAAGGTAGGCATATTTTTATATATGTTTTTTTAATTTTCTTTATAAAAAGTGATGTTAAGGACAGATCTTTTATATTCCCTATTTAAGTATCTAGAAGAATACGCTTCTTGCTTGTTAATTTTTTCCCTTTTTTTATTTGTTCATTATTTGAAATGGAAACTAATCGTGGAATTTTGGATATATACTTGACACTGGGCAATTGTAGAAAACCATATCTTGGTAACTTCGTATATATATGTTTGTTTCTTTCCAATCGACAATTCCCTTCATCTCCTTTTATTTCCTATTCAACGATCAACAAATTCTGTAAACATTTTGTATTTTATCAACTTAAGGATATACTGTTTTTATTCAAAAGGTATTAACACACCAAATAACGCAATAAGATTATGTAAAATGCTATAATAAAGCTATTTTGCTAATTTGTTTGTTTCAATTAAAAACAAAAAACTTGTGGTTAACTGATTATTCATACAGTGATGAGTAATATGCCGAAATTCTGTTTAAGGATATGCATATGTTTTTTTTTTCTATTTTGAACCCATTAAGGTCTATTAGGTGCAACTGGTAGCCGTATTAACAAATAGGCTAATGAATATATTACGCACTACTTTACCGCAATGCATCAATGTCCATCACATTTAAATATCCTTCAATTGGGTGTGATATCATACCTCAACAGCCATAAAAACTGTATTTGTATATTATACAGATATCACTGTAAAGCTCCGTCCTTAGCCGGACTACTTTTGTATATTGCAATATTGTATAATAGCAGGATTAAGTCCATTTTCTATGGCGTTAATCTTCAAGTTCAAAATTTGAATGTGTAACACATAAATCAACCATGCAACACAGTCTATAATCAGTGAATATCACGGTGAGCTCGAAATTCTGAAGCGGAGGACAAATCATACATTTTTTTTGTAATTTGTTTATTTTTGACATAAAGACAGAAAACAATCAAGCAGCATTACACACATGTACAGTTTTAAATATGGTCTTAAAGATATTATCATATTACTTCAACTCTAAATAGCAAGACATAATAAAAACAAAATATAACTATTCGTACCAGTTATGAAATATTTAAATCACCTAGGACAGATTGTAATGGCAACCATTTTTTATCTATATATTCTTTTTTTTATTTTTTTTTCATACACTTTTGTCTAAAATCGGACAATGTTTAATTTGCTATTTCTATTTACTGTTAAAATGATTTTTATGTTGTTATAAATAATTATTAACTTTGGGCAATGTAATATTGTTGACTATGGGAGATTCTTTTTTGGCGTACCGATCATTGTGTGATTTTTTTTTAATATTGCTACGCGGGCCTCAAAGGTAAAATAAACAAAAACTAATATATTTTAAATCGAAAATAAGTACAATCAATGTGAGTTTTTCTGTCTTTTAAAGCAAAAACAATGTACAAAATTAATTGCTGGATAAAGACAATGACTATTGTGTGTCTTTAATTATCAGCAGTGTTTGTACTCGACTCGAAATAGGAGTAATAGCTAGCTAAAGCTAGCATTACACCTGGTTCTTAGCCTCGTACAAATACAGCGGATATTTAGAGACACTAAACAGCTACTGTCTATGTATCACACTCTATACAGATAAATGTGTCAAATGTTTTAGTAACTCTCTATTTTTATTCAATAGAATGCCAGAACTAAATGCACGTCAGTGTCTCTATAGGATGATATTAGTTTGAATATATATAAATATATATATATACTTAGTTTGCCTATATGTTTTTTGAATATGACAGTTTGCTGAATCTTGTTTCTTTGATATTAATGAAAATTTTGGAAAAGCACTGAAAGGCTCATGTGTGTGCTAATGACTCTTGGGTGTTGTAAGGCATACAGACAGTAAATATATCAACAATAATAGCTATAGGTAGTCATATTGATTGACACGATTAATAAGTTTGTATTTGTAATAAATGTTGAAGACATGATAATAAAAGTCTATATATAACAATTCTTTCTTTTGCATTGTTTGTAGAACGATCAAAGAGACAAAGACTTATAGGTAAGTTTATTATATGAACATTGATATTTAAAATAGAGAAAAGAAATTGTATTTATTTTTTACTAATCTATGGTTCCTAACAACAGACGAAGAATTTGCCTTCTATTTTCTGCATTTTGATACTTTGTGTTGATTTGCTGTTGATCATCATTAAACATTGTTATTGCAATCCTGTTTTTTAAAGCATGCATTTTTTTGTGTTATAATGAGGTCATGTTAGACGAGAAATTAGGATCATAGAGTACAAAAGAGTAAAATAACAAAAAACCGAAGTAACAAGGAATGTTAAAATCGGAAAGTCCCTTATAGAATGACAACTGTCATATTGTTAGAAGATAGGTTGACAATAGGTTGTTATTTACATATTTGTCATGTAGTTGCCGTTTGGTGCTGTTTATCATTATGGTTTTTCGTTTATTGATTTATACATAAATCAGATCGTCGTTTTTTTCGTATGAATTGTTTACATTTTGTCATATCGAATACTCTAATCTGTCACTTTTCAAGTCAGGAACCCCTGGCCTTTGTTAATCTTGTTTGTGTTTTAATTTTGTTTCATCTATATGTTTCGGAGTTTAGTGTGACGTCCATTTTCGCTGAACTAGTACACATTTTTGTTTAGGAACCACTAAAGGTCCGCTATCTGGTTTGCTATTATCTTACTGTGTGGAGGACCCGTTGGTGGTCTTTGGCTGTTTTCTACTCTTTATTCGGGCTGTTGTCTCTTTGACACATTCTCAATTGTATACTTTATGTCTCTAATGGGTAGTGATCTTATTAGCAATAATGCCAGACATTCTTCATTTTACTTAAGTTATTTAAACACTGAATCAACGATTAACATGCGTAAAAAATAGACAAGGCCACTAAAGTGGTTTGAATGAATAATATATTAGTTAACTTGATTAATCGAAACTGAAGGTTGTACATGTATGTGAGTGATGTCTTTGTATTTTACAAAGTACAATTTCACATTAGGCATTATCAGGTGTTTTGAGGGTCAACATCTTTTAAAAAAATATAAGGAATTTCCTTTGCAAATTGGTTATGTAAAAAAATCATGGACCTGATTGCGTACCTTTTTAGCTCACCCGATCGAAAGGCCAAGTGAGCTTTCCTCATCGATCGTCCATCCTCAGTCATCGTCCGTCATCGCCGTTGTCGTCCGTTAACTTTTTACAAAAAATTCCTTCTTTGAAACCACTTGGTCAAATTTACCCATAATTGGCTGCATCATCATTGGGGTATCTAATTTTTAAAATGTGTCCAATGACCCCGCTTGTCAACCTAGATGTTCGACAAGGCTAAAAACAGATCATATGGTTAAAATGCAAGTTTTGTGTATTATTTAAAACTGCTGTAAAAAGATAAAATTCCGAAAGAGGCAAAATTGCTCAGAATTTTGAGCACTGACTGTTGTCCTTTTAGTGAAAACTGTCAGACGACTTCTTATTGGAGTTATTGCCCGTTAATGACGAATTCTACCATTTTTAATTTTGTTCCCTATTATTTCGAAAATTATAATAGAAAGACAGAAACTTTTAACGGCAAAAATGATCAGGAAGACAGGAACTACAAATAAGTCATCATGACAAAAATCCTCAGACAATTCCTTACTAGAGTTGTTGCCCTTTAATGTCAATTTTTACCATTGTTTGTTATGTTTGCCTATCATGTTGAATACTGTAATAGATATATAGAAACTTTAAGAAGCAAAATTATCAGCAAGACAAAATCTACAAATAAGACAACATTATAAAAATGAAATTTCGACTTCTTATTGAAGTTATTGCCCTTAAATGACGTTTTGCCCCATTTTTAAACGACCGCAAAATGTTTGCGTTCAAAGGATGTTATCACGATGTCAGCGTAGTCGTCATGAGTTCAATAACATATTTTGAGTGTATGGATCACTTTGAAATTGTACAACAAGGTTCCATACCACAAAATGAAGTTTGGAATTGATTCTTGGGATCATTGTCTTGACTGTTTGGGAACAAGAGGCCAAAAAGGGGTGAAAAAGAAGTTGTTTTCTTGTTTCAGGACAATAACTTGTGTAAATCAAAGTGTATGGATCTTTATGAAATTGTACCACAAGTTTCCATGCCAAATAAAGGAAGGTTGGGAATGATTTTTGGGGTTATGGCCCTAACCGTTTGGGGAAAAAAAGCCAATGCATAAATTTCTTATTATTTCCTTTTTTTAATATTGGTGTTGTTTTGTACACTTTTACATGCGAACATGTATACATATTCATCTAAGTGTTTTTAGTATTGCATCCGATTTATATATATATTTATATATATGTAACTATAAATATTTCGAATAACAGATATCCTTCATCAGTACAATTCAAAAATTTCCAAAACACGACGCAAAGATATACCTAAATATTTTAAATACGCAGCCTCTATTTTAATTACTCTACAATTGTCAATTTTCAAATATTATACCAGCTTAGATCCGTCAGTGCTGTTTATTGGGAATGTATTTTCACGCAGTTGTTGTAACATCTTTACTGTCGTCATTTTGGATTTTTAGAGTTGTGCCTGTTCATATCGCAAATTACTATTTTTATTTTAGGTATATCGTGCGTCGTGTTTTGGAAATTTTTGAATTGTACTAGCGTCTCTATATATGTTGTTTGGGTAAAACTGTTTTTACCTGTTTTACTGTATAAATTCAAGATTGTTATAGTTTTATAATCAGAATAGATATGATTCATTTAATATCGTGATCATACTGATGAAGGATATCTGTTATCCGAAATATTCATAGTTACATTTGTTTATTATATTGTTATCTTGTGGTGATGGTGTACCCTTTTAGACTGGTAATATATTATATTTTGTAGTGCACTGTATCATATTTATATGATCCATCGCCCTGTAAGATTTATCGTTGGCTATTATTCAGTCATTTAGAATATTTATATATATATATATATTTTTATATAAGAAAAATAATATAAGATAATGACGGTTTCAATTCATCACTTTTACTAGCGCTTTCACTGCTTTCATAGATCTTCAGGTAATGTGACTTGTATACATAAATGTTATAAAACAATTGATTGACGTTAACAATAGTATGACGTTAACAAATACAAGGGAGACTACTAATGTCATTTTAAAATTGGAGTAAAGTCTTTAAAATGTTTCGTAAAAATTAAAATATTATTTATCATTTAATCCCGGGTTGAGAATGTTTATGAATAATTCTTCTTTCTTCTTCCGGAGAAAATCATTTTGACGATTGACCATATACAACGGAAATATTTTAAATCGTCCATTAGAACAATGATGGAAATGGTCGTTAGCCCTGATGATTGTTAAATCTTCATGGTTGGTTTGCTGTATATGTACAGTCGTTCTAGTCCGCAGTTCTGTTTTTGTCTCTCCAATATATAATTCCTCACAATTTGCACATATGAGAGAATAAATGACGTTTGAACTTTTACAAGACATATTTTGTTTAACTGTGAAATGCTTTCCATTTTTGAAATAAATTGAACTTTCTTCTATTAAATCTGGACATGTCATACATCGTTTATCGGTACATTCTCTAACAATAGGCAAAGTTTCATTAAAGTCGAAATTTGAAGATGAAAAATATCGTTTTAGACTTTTTGACTGTCTTTTACTGTTGATAATCTTCTTTTTTTTTGTAATACTTTGTCCATTTTTTCACTTTTGTGTAAATTATTTTCAATTTGTCGCATGAAACTAAATATATCATAATCTCGTGGGTTATATGTTGTGACAAACGGGATAATTTTGTCTAAACTGTTTGATGATTCTTCGGTTGTTTCGGATCGCCGTGATTCTGTAATGATTGGTCCTTTTATCAGTGCATTTGAATTCCGTAATCTATCACTTGTTCTGGATATTGCTGCTTTTTTAAATACACTTTTAATTCTTCCAATCTTTTATTGCGTAATAGTTCTGTACTTGTAATGGTAATTATTCTTGACGCTAGATTAAAAGGTATATTTAATTTTACATGTTTTGGATGATTTGAGTAAAAATTTAAATACATATGTGTATCGGTGTCTTTAGAAAAGATATCTGTGACAATTTCATTGTCTTCCGTTATAAGTACTAAAATATCCAAAAACGGCATTTTGTTGACATTTCTGTTAATTGTGAAACGAATATGTGGGTTTAAAGAATTTAAATCAGAATGAAAATCTGAGACAGATATATCCGAATTCCAAATTATAAAACAATCGTCAAGAAATCGTTTCCAGTTTTGACGTAGGTAAATGGCAAAGTCATTTCCGTATTTATGGTCCATTTGTTCGTATAATAATTGTTCCAAATATCCAAGTACTAAAGTGGCGTATGAAGGCGCCATTTTAGTACCCATAGCTGTTCCTTTTTTCTGATGATAGTATGTGCCGTCAAAGTAAAAACTATTTCTTTCTAATATAAGTTTCAAAGATGCAAGGATAAATTCTTTTGTTAATCTGTTTTCAATGACATATGTATTTAAATTTTTACTCAAATCATCCAAAACATGTAAAATTAAATATACCTTTTAATCTAGCGTCAAGAATAATTACCTTTACAAGTACAGAACTATTACGCAATAAAAGATTGGAAGAATCAAAAGTGTATTTAAAAAAGCAGCAATATCCAGAACAAGTGATAGATTACGGAATTCAAAAGGCACTGATAAAAGGACCAATCATTACAGAATCACGGCGATCCGAAACAACCGAAGAATTATCAAACAGTTTAGACAAAATTATCCCGTTTGTCACAACATATAACCCACGAGATTTTGATATATTTAGTTTCATGCGACAAATTGAAAATAATTTACACAAAAGTGGAAAAATGGACAAAGTATTACAAAAAAAGAAGATTATCAACAGTAAAAGACAGTCAAAAAGTCTAAAACGATATTTTACATCTTCAAAATTCGACTTTAATGAAACTTTGCCTATTGTTAGAAAATGTACCGATAAACGATGTATGACATGTCCAGATTTAATA